AGATGCAATAAAAATTTAGAGATTGCAGAAAGTTTGTTTACCAAAACGCAGGCATACCTCGCAAATCGAACAGGACGAAGTACCAAATGGATATTCTTTCGCATTTGGAAAATATTTCCTTAATATCGACCAAACTTCGTTCGGCACTATTTTTCTACTGGAATCTGGAGTTTTCAATAGAGTATGTTCACAAAGTAAATCATCATTAAAATTTAAAACAACTTCGTTCTCTTCGCCCTCTTCGACTTCTTTCGTACAATCGTCGTTATCCTTCTCGATAGTTTTCGTCTTCTCCTCGTCAGTCAATCGAGAATTTTCACGATCTTCCCGGTCTATTTCTTGTTCCATATCTTCGGTAAATTTTTCCATAGCCAGTCTCCTCCAAGATCTCAAAGAATCTGCACCAACTATGTAACTCGTCTCGCTTCTATGAAAAAGAATAAACGTCGATTTTTTTACTTGAAATTATGAAAAATGAAAAGAAAATGTTTAGGATAAATGAAGAAGAAATACTAACGATTCTTTAACATTACGTATCATATCGTTAACTTCCTTGTGATCGCGTTCCAACACCATTTTGAATCTGAGCATTTTGGAACGTCTCCTAACACAAACTTCGCACAAAGTATTCTGATCCAAACGTGGTCCTCCACGATACTTGTCGTACAGTAAATTAGCCGCCGAAGTAGGCAAACATTTGGCACGATTAACTTTTAACGGATCTAAACGATAATGAGGACACATCAGAACCGAATTATCTATCGGTGGAACGCCGTCAGTTGATGATTGTCCGTTTAACCATTTTGATAACCAATCGATCGGTATCCATTGGTATTCTGTGCAGGATATCAGATTTCCGATGATATCGTACACATCTATTACAAGTTGCCTCTTAAAATTCTGATCTTCTATTTCCTTTTGCTAAAAATAAATCAAATTCGATTCCATGTTTAAAATATATTAAAAATAATTATTGCAGGATTCGATAATTACAAATAAAAATTAACTTACTTTTTCTTGCTGAATGGCTAATAAACTTAACTCGTGTTTAACGTTTTCCTGACGAACGAGTTCCCTCATCGTACTGCTCACTTGCCAATTTTCAAATTCGATCTGTAACACATTATCGGGCAAACATATAATATAATAATACGAAATCTTGAAAAAAAATGGTATACATACCTCTTCATAAAAATCACGTTCTCCACAACTCATTGCTCTATGTGCTGCACCATTTAATAATTTGTAATCGAGTTTTGTATTTTTTGCAATAACTTTCTTTGTCTGCTCTATCTGATTTTTGTCATCCTTAATGACATCGGAATTATCATTTTTCGCAGGTACAAAACTGTCCACATCCATTTTGCAATCGATTTCAATTTTCATCATTTTTCCTGGACTTGCAACATCCTTGAAATCGTCATCAGTTCCATTCTTACGTTTTCCTTCATCTGATGAATCGGATCTGTCCTTTACAGTGAGTCTTTCCAAACTAACGGAATCGCTATAACTATTGCACTCGGAATCTATTCTCTTTACTTTACATTTTTTTCCATTACCTAATTTTTGTTCGTTTGTTAATTTTTTATACACCAACATATACGCTGTGTTAGACGAAAGAAATCCTTTTGGTACGCGACCACGTTTCATATTTTTTGTAGATTCTGTAAAGGTAAGAAAAACACGAAATTCATATTTGATTATTTGTCTTACAAATATATGTTTGATATAAGGATGCTGCAACAAGACTCTCACCATTGCCACTATCCTCGATCCTTTTATTCTGCATTTTTTCAACTTTATCGTCACTAAATTGGTACCATTCTCCCGCCGAATTACATATGTTCGCAATGTAATGACCCGAATGAGCCGAAGGTCCTTTATGACTCAAAACCGCGACGAGACTGTACAAGTGAGTCTGAGAAGGACACCTGACGTATTCGGACATATCCAAATCTTCCGGAAAATGAATGAAAGAATTCAGCTTTCTTTTTTGACCAGAATCCCTATACAGATAAAAGCGAATTAACACCAAACATAATAAAAATTTAGTAAAAATGTAATAAAAGTGTAGAGACTCACCGATGAAATACAAAACGCATCAATTGAATGTTCAAAGTTTCTGGTAGCAATTCCAAGCGTATGAATCGTCTAGCATCCTTTTTGTCATTACAGGTAACGCAATGGTATTGATTTGGTCCATTCAATTGTTCTTCAGTCAGATATTTTTCTATAGCTTCCTTCAAAGTAGCTGCAAGCTGCAAGTCCAATTCGTAGAAAGTGGTCGACGTTGGATACTCGGTACCGCAGGTGGAGCAACTATATTCAACAAAAATAGTAGCTCTTATTTACACGACACACGTCTCTTTCGGTCAGATCAGTTGATCGCACCAGTCACCGTAGCGAGCAACGTGTCCTACCATGTTCTCATCGTCAAGATCATCTGCATCATCATCGTTTAGGACAATTCTCATTTGTTTTCCACTTCAGAAAACCCACCAATTGATATAGCTGTATTTTCCCTGTGACAGCCTCCGCAACATCCGCTGCAACTCTGAGTTTTGCTGTAGCTTTCCTTCAATATGGCACAACAACAGCTTGGAGAACTCCTGCGCATCCTGTTGTGTTCTAGTATCCAAAGAGAGGGCGATGGCAAGATTCATTGGATCGAGTAGACGTCTGTTTCCAAATTGCATCATGGCAAATATGTATTGCAACTGACCGACCGCTGTTACTGGATGATAAGAAAGTCCGGCCTTCTTTGCTTGAAACAAAGCTTCCTTCTCCTCTGGATCTTCCGTTATATTCCACTTGTATATTATTCTTCTGTAATAAAGATGCTATTAAACACCATATTCGTACTAAGTATGCTTAAGAAATCTACACAAATTGTACGGCTATTATGATACCTCATGTCCTCATTGTGGAACCACATTTGAATTAAACTGTTGACATAACACGTCGCTCCTAGATTTTTCAAGCCAACATATTGAGTAGGATCACGAAGCTCAGACAGAGAACTTTCCAAGGAAACAATCTCTGTTGGTTGGGACTTGATATACTTTTCTTCTCCTAATCCAGTGAGACATTGTGGATTATTTGTACAATTTCGTCTGCGATAAAAAATCAATGAAATATTGAGATTAATATTGAGAAACATAAAAGAGCGATCATAAAAGATTAAAGTATTATATTGATAAGCATCTTACTTGCAATTTCTGCAACCTTTGAGACCTAATCTATAAGCAGTTTCTAAATGTACCCTCTCTATTTCTTCAGGTGTAACAGCTTCGATCCAAGACCATGCTAATTTATCCAAATCCGTTTTCTTTGCGGGTGCCATTTTCTCCTAAAAAAAAATAAATAATTAAATAAGAAAAATCTAATATAAAGTAAAGCTGAATGCGTTATTTCAATAGATTTTGAGCACACAGTCAGTTGTCGATAGGATTTGTCGACATGAAATCTAAACAGCACGATCGCACTGTGTGAGACTTGTTGCTTTAATAAAAAGTATTGTAAAAATGATTACATTATATATTTCTACTTCGGGAAGAACCGTCCATGCTTTGGAAACATCCCGAAGACGGAGACACGTCAATACTAGCACGTTACCCATTAGAAATATCATTCGTTACTTTTCGCGCCATAACGAAATAACAAATTACACAAGAGATAAAGACAAAAATGAGTCATAGTGCAAAGGAAATACGAAATGAAATAAAATAACAAATTAAAAAGTAAAGGCGATCGATTGTAGACAAAAAAGATGAATAACATTTGAAATATCAGCCACGACTACCGATCAACGATGTACAATTTTCGAAATAAAATAATTGAAGATAAATAATAAATGAAGAAAGTTAGTATCGAAGTAAATGTTGCGGAGAAACAAAAGACAGGTCGCGAATAAAATGCACAAACATATACTCGCGAGGTAGACATCGTTCCACGTAATGAGCCTTCGTGGAAAGATGCTTGGAGGTTAGGAAAAATGCCGCCGTGTATACCTTTTATATCATGATAAAGCGATCCGTACCAAGAATCAATGGATCACGATGCGCGATCTAGCGCACAGATCAGCGCACAGCAGCGCACGGAGATACGCGATATCTCGCGATCTTCTTTCTCTATCGTTATATTTTACACAATAGGAAAATTCGAAAGATCACTTTATCAAAACACACTACCGCAACACCGTGCGTCTCTCTCACTCTCCCCCTCTCTCTCTCTCTCTCTCGTTCGCTCACGTTCAACCACCACTACTACCATTCGCCATCATTCGCCACCATATGCAATCAAATTGCATCGAGGCGCGCATCAAATCAATCGCTAAATCATAATCGATTTATTAATTAATCTCGTTATTTTTTTAATTGACTATTTCTAATATTACTAATCGCTTACACATCTTTAAACTGTTTTAATTACAATTACGTCCATTTATTTCGATCACTGACGTTAAATTATTGTCTTTTCTCGCGCTCTATTATCAAATGCATGTGTATGTAACTTTAAATATGTGGCTTGTACATATGGCACGTACAGTCGGGAACAAAAATAAATGGACAGATACTAGAGATGGTTATCGATAAAGTTTTCTCAAAATACTGCCATTATTATGCACTTCAATTTTATTTAATTATTTATTTCATCACGAAATATATGTAACACGTAATATATGCAATACATATTTATTTGCCACTTACTTTTGCCCCCGACTGTGTATATACATTTGATTCATATACAGAAAGCTAAAGACATCATTATGAGCAGCCGAGAATGTCCGAAAATAATTTCTAAATGGGATGCAATTAATCGTATCGTCATATTATACTTTATACGTGTGCTGAATATTGCAGGAACGATGTACAAAAAATGAATTACGTAATGGTAACACACCGGTTTATGATTTTCTTCTACATCACCGTCAGCTTAAGGCGCAACAAGCGCGAACGACTTGGAAAGATTCTAACTTTACTTTCTTTATTTTTCTTTACTTACTTTTCTTTTCCTGAATACATAACATTGAGACTCGTTTCTTCTACGATTAAGTGCGAGTGACTTGACTTGTCAAATTCTTTTTGCTCTTAAATTAAAATACAATGTCACAAATTAAAATAGGTTAGCAAAATGGAGATATTTAAATTGATGAATGATGAATTATAATAATTCTATTATTTTTCAGTCACCAGCGATATTCTCTTAGAATTCTTAGAAGTGGCATTTAATCATATACTTTACTATAGAAAATTATATCCAAAAGAAATCTTTGTTAAGAAAAAAATTTATGGCGCTGTAATCCATGTCTCAGAACAGCCAGAACTTAACGAATACTTGAGAAATGTTTTAACCGCTATTAAAGAATTACTTAAAGAAGATGAAAATAGTGTCAAAGCTGTCAACCTTGTTGTTTTTAATGAAAATAGAACACCCATTGAAAAGTTCGTTTTTGACTTGGTCAAGTTACAGGCGCAAGGAATCGAGTATGACTCTTCATTAATTTCCTTTACCAATTAAAATAACAACGATATAAATTAAAATTTTCTATAAGTTAAAATGTTAAAACTTGCTTACAGAATTGATCCATACTATCTTAAAACTGAAGAAGCTTTGAGAACGATCTGTTTAAAATTATCCATATGTGAAACGTATTTAAAACCCCTTCCAGAAAATGCATCATTTTCTATAGAAATTCAAACGTATGAAACTGCCCATGTATCTCTCAGTGAAAATCCATTATGCGAAGATTTCCCTTGGATTGTTGATGATGAAACTAAGAAAATGGTCAATAAAAAATTATTACCTCTGAATACAGTTAAAACAGAATGTTTAAATTTACAGATGTACGTACTCCAAAATGGAGATGTCTAAAATATATTGTAATGTGATGTAATATAAAAAAATAAATAAATTTATACTTTTATATATATACAAGGAGACCCAGTTTTTGTCCATAGAATTTTACAACTATATTCTATAAGTAAAAATAAGAAAAAAATGTTAATAAATATTTTTAAAATATGAATAATTCTTTTTATAAAATCACATAGAAAATCTAATAATAATAATTATTATTATTGTTATAATTCATACATTTAACAATATATACAATTTTGTTAATGTTCTTATATAAAAAATAATAAAATCGCACATTTTTATTATTATATTTATCTATTAGTATATTGTATATTTTATATATCGTACAAAATAATATATTTATTTATAAAATTTTTAAGAATAAGTTTGACCACGACAAAATGAAAGCAAATAAGATTGAACTGTATAGAAACTTATTACGTGTGAACACGTGGGAGGAATCAGCTGATTTAGAATCGAACGTCACAATACAAATGAGCGATTTAACTTTTTTAACCTTTTTAATGTGTGATATATGTATTTAGAAATAAAATAATTAATATTAAAATATAAAAGATGATGGTAGATATAGATGAAGCCGAAGTGACCAAAGTTCAATCACAAAATGACAGGTATGGTGATAACCTCACTTTTTTATTTACACCTAAGCATATTTGTTTATCCAGCATTTCTAAACAAAATCTATCTAAAGTAAATAAAAAATTATCCTACTACAATTTTTTATTCTTTATATTTCAGTATTGAAAATATAGTAGACTTTTCTAAAGCTACCGAAAAATTGGCCACTGGAATATTGTCTATTTATCAACCATCATTGGAAAAAGTCAAGGAAAACCTAAATGAATTGACGTAAGAGAACAAATTCTAACTTTCCTTATTGCTGTGATATTAATTATAAAATCACTTTTTAACCTTCAGAAACAAGCAAGAAGTTTTACTCGATCAAATACAAAATGATAATAAAAAGTTTCAAGATGTTATCGAAGATGCAGATTTAAACAACATGGTAAACATTGGTCTTGTTTTTTGATTTTAGAAAAATTGGTTACCCGATATATCTAAATGCATTTTCAGTTTGCTACCATTAAATTGTATCAAGGAAAATTAACAAATATTAAAAAGGAAATGGTCACAGTACACGATAGGACCTACAAATTAAAAGTAAGTTTTTATTATTTTCTTTTCATGTAAGTACCTTCACTTAAGAGAAATATTTATACTACAGAAACGGGCATTACGCTTGCAACAAATTAAACAAAAAGAAGCTCTCGGTAGGGAACAACAAAGAGAACAAGAGCTTCGTAGAGAACAAGAATTAATCGGTAAGCCTACAACATCTCAATGAAATTTAGTATCTGTAAAGACCTATCAAACAGTTTACTTAGGATACGTATTACATATATGAAAAGATATATAATATAAAGTATAGAAATATTATGCATTTATATATTTAACTAATATTAATAGTAAAATATTTTTTAAAATGTATCAACGTTCGAATTCTTAAAAAATTACAATAATCAACATCTCTTGAAATCATATTACCATGCTATTTCCCAGCGTTCACCGAATGAACACTTCTCTTTGGTTTTACATAATCGATTGAAAGTTCTTTCTGGAGGAAATCCAATAATCTCTCTGTCTTCTTGTATCCTAAATGTAAAAGTTGACTCGTGCGTTCCAATAAAGTATCTGTTAAAAATAATCTTCAATTTATATGCATATAGTTTAAAATCACGCGATTGAATGTACTTGCCTAGCATACGAGCAAATTATTTGATCTATAATTGCGACACCACCATCTTTAAACTTTCTTTTAACATCGTTTGATGGCACATAATTTAAAACTGAATTTTGCGGTAAGTATGACTTGAGTTCAGCAATTTCTGTAAAAATGTATGCAATTATACGGTCATACGTTTATATTTTTACGAAGTACATAGAAAATTCTTATCGAAAATTATTTTTTGTTCGACCTTGCTCATCTGCATCAGTAGCTACGAATAAAAATTCCAATCCGTATTCTTTCATTTTGTTTGCCAACTGAAACGCGGCTCCCTTTATCGTTGGCACCGATTTTGTCCGGCCGACAAGAAAATCGCGTCTTCTCAAATGAACTGACAAGTACGGACCACCAATTGCATTTCTTTTTTTCTAAAATTTAGATATACTTAGGAAAGTATAAGAGAGTACTGTTCTGTAAAATTGAATAATATGTATGCATGAATTAATTAATGAAATGTATCAAATATATGTTTAAATTAACAAACTTTTTCTTTGGTCCAATCGAGAGGACGTTCGGTATTGTCATTTTTATCTGTAGAATTTAAATATTTTGCTCTAAAGTCAGATGCAATGTTGTAAAGCTCAGAATTGTAACGCATACTACGTCTTGCCTTCCAGTAATCTTTAGAACCGTAAGAATCGTGCAAAGGTATTTCCATATGATCAAACATGACAGATCTAAATAAAACAAATATTTTGTTAGATATTTTGATAAACATTTTAACAATAATTCAACTCTTTCAAGTGCTTCACCTGACCTGTAAAGAGAAGGATTAAGATTAACTTTGAGATTCGATGTTGTTCCATGAAACAAAATACATTTCACTTGTTTACTAGTGACATTAGGAAAATTCCAAAAGTAACCGATGTACTCTTCTTTCAATTTTCTATAACGTATAAGTTTGGAAGAACACTCTGTTTCTTCGTTCTTATCAACGAATAAACCGGTTTTAAACATTTCTTCATCGTTTTGTAAAATATACACGGTATCCAACTGTGTCTTTTTATTCTTCAAAGAATATTCTATAATTAATGAATATGTAATTATGTTATAAATATGAATATTATAGTAAGTAGTAAAAATTACCTTCGAAGAATTTGTACATTTCAATAACAGGAGCATATTTTTGTAAACTTGCAATATCAAAAAATAAACCCCATGGCAACAATACTTGTGGACCCACGTCTTTGCTTTGCCAATGATACAAATCACCTGTATAGTCCATTACAAAAAAAAAATTTATGATTAATTAATTAATATTAAAAACAAATCGAAAAGAAAAAATTACCCCATGGTGGTAGGACTAAATGCCAATCGTATTTTTTATCCTTTTTACTTAAATTCTTTACAAAAACAGCAACACGAACGTATACATCTCTTCTTAGATTGAAACCTTCGGGAGGATTAACATCGTATAGTATATAGCTAAATAATAAATAAAAAATAAAGAAAATTGTTACAAATAAAAATATTTGTCAATAATAATATCATGGGTGGGCTGAAAAGTTTAGATCCTAATATAGAAACAATTGTTTGTATAATAAATGTTTCCTTTTAATTGAAGCTCAAAACTTTTCAACCCACCATCGTATCGTTAATAACCTCCAACCGTTTGTTCGATAAACGTTCGAAATTTCCACAATTTTCCTCGGTTCTCATAATTTCATCGGATTTCGGGCAAAAGTCATATTCTTCAGATTTTACTGTGAAAATGATCGATATTAATATAAAATATAAAGTTTTAGGAAAGGAAATATCGAACATTTTGATCTCTTGTTATTTTCGTGAATTTGAAAGAGATGTTCATCTACAATGTTTCACATGTTATTCGAGAGCAATGACGTAATTATAATTATTTTGAAACACAGAAACTTGTTTCAAATCTAGAATATAAACAAACTTAAAAAAAATATATTTTTTAATGTTATCTATAAAACATATTAAGATCGAATAAGATAAAATAGGTTGTATTCATTGCTTGTTCTTAAGTTTGATGCTCGAGATGATCTGGACTAGTTTATTCGACGAAAATTATCTTTTAAAACATTATACATTTGTAGTTTGTATTTAAAATGACTTTCATGAATTGGGAGACCTAGCCCTTTTCTGAATCTATCTTATCTTTCTGATTGTTCATAAAGGTACAGTTATCTGAAAAAAGATTGTTATTAAAGAGGGGTGTGGCAAGTTTACTCTGCTTATCCCCACCACTTACGCCTCCTACCACTATACGCTCTCCAAGTTCACAGAGTAGGATAGGTATTCGTGACGTAATCGTAGGATTTCAAATTTACGATGGCGCGCTTAGTTTGAGTAAAAAGTTTCCAAGTTTCCAAGTAATCAAAGGATTAAAATTGTTTGAAGCGTGATTTTAAAATTGTCTTAAGTCACGATTATGAGTCTAAAGGATGTCTTAAGACTTTAGTATATACTTAAGATGATCTTTTTTTAGGTATAAAAACGGAAAATATATTCAATTTCTTTTTCCATGACGCATCTGCGAGGAGTTGGATGTTCTAACATTATTTTCTTTCGTTTTAAAGGACAATCGTTAATGAATATTGAAAAATATCTTGTCTTTTTTTTTGTAATATATATATGCAAACTTCCAATTTTGTTTATAAATTGTTTTTCCTTGATGAAGATTAATAAAGAAATGATATCAATGGAAAATTATAAAAAAAACAAATATGTTGACTTTCTTCTATACAAATAAAAAATCGGATTCGTAAATTCGTAGACAAATGGATTAAAGAGTTAGCTTATTTGATTAATGGTATCTGTAGTAATGATAATAATAATAATTATTATTTACCGTCTTATACAATATTTATAATTCATAGTTTAGTTAACGTAGTTACTTCAATGCTCTTTTCTTTTTTGAAAAAGTGCATATTTATGTTGTGTTGTGTTTGTATATGCAGATTCGTTTCCACATTTTACACCATTATCTTATTTAAAGTATACACTTGGCATATAAAAATTACAAGGACAATTTATAATGTTAGTAATATTAATGATAGATGTGTAATAATAATAAAATAATAATAATAATAATAATAATAATAATAATAGTGGCGATAGTTTTAATAATACTAGGATAGTAATAATAATAATAATTAATAGCAGTAGCAGTAGCAGCAATGGTAGTAATAGTAGTAATAGTAACAGCGTTAGCAATAACTACGATATTAAGATTATTATTATTATTATAATCATTATAATCTGATAATTAGGAATTAGTTTCTTATTCATCTTTTTACACATAATTCTTGCATAAAATTCTTTATGTAATCTTCATCGTTTCTAGCCGCGTTCATTTGTTTTTTCATATGAATCTTCTTTTCTTTTTTTTTACAGTTTGTGCCTCTTTTATCTATTTTATGCTTGCTTTTGTAATTTTATTATTTTATTTGTAATTTTATTTCGCTAGCGTCGTTAACACATTTAGGCAAATTTTCGTCCATACTCTAACAGCGATACATGTTTTTTTTTCTTTTTTTAATACTGTGAATGACTTTTTTTTCATAACAAATACAACGTGACACAAATTTCACACTACTTAATTTCTTGTAATTACAGCATCTCTCCTCCTTTTTTTTCTCTGCGAAATCTATAGCGTTAACATCACAACTGGAAAATGCTTTGCACATTTACCAGAAAACATGCTATGTTATATTGACTGTACAAAATGTAAAGTAGTAAATTATTATCATTATAATCGTTATTAATATTATTGTTAATTTCAAACAAATTATTTGTCGATATATTCGGATGAAGCGTTTCTTTATGCGTGATGCAGCTATAAATCTGTATCAATAAATTTCAATGTCACATCAAAACAGGAATCTTACTTACTGCACGATTTACATAAATCCATTTCATTAAAATCTTTGCAATGAAATCATTAAAATAATCTAGAAATAAGTGAGATCAAGCAAATGATTTAATTTCACGGCGTGCGTTTTAATCGATTAACAAGTATTTTCAAGATATTCTCTTTATATACAACATACAAATCGATCAATGTTCATACTACTTCACATTTAGATAATTTTTTTGTTTGAAATTAATTAATTCATTTTGACTAATCAAAGAATCGGTATACAAATGTTTGGTAACAATTCTTGTCAAGAACGTAGAATACAAAAAAATACCTTATGGCATTTATATTTATCCCAATGAAATATCAATGAGTATATCGAAATCTGTGCATCGTTTTGTAAACTATAGTATCCTACAATAAATTACTATTTAAACTTAATCATTTTTTTTTGACTTTATGTGTAAGATAAAACCAGGATTATTTAAACATCGGTTAGAATGAAACAGAAAATAATTGTAAATGAACAGCATTAATAAGTTACTATCCTAGATCTCTTATTACAAAATTACTATTACCGGGCATAGTTTATTTTATTCCAATAATGTCTGTACGTGTTTAATCAAATTTTAATAGAATAATAATAACGTTGAAAGTAATGGATAAAGAAATATTACGTAAAAAAACAAAACCATTTGAATATAGAATTATAGAATCCATTATCAATATTATTGTATACTATTAAAAAACGCGCAAAAAACAGCATTTAGGTATATTCTCTTCTTACGAGAGAGAAATTATGCAAATAATAATTAATTTTACTCAAAGACGCGAACGAATAATAAAAGATTCTTCATTTTTTTTTGTTTCCTCCATAAATGTTTTATGTCTTAACGCCGTAATCTGCGTCATCGTCTTGGCATATTTAATACTGAAAATTAGTTAACAAATAAACGTGTCTAAAGTAAATAAATGAAACATTTAATGATACATATCTGGTTGTAATGCAATGACATAATTTTCACTACACATGACACATTATGAAATGCTCAAAACTTACAGATTCTCGTTAATAAATAATTCATATTATATATATACACAGGATAAGGTTTGTATATATACACACACGCACACACATACACGAGAGAACACAGGCATACGCATCGCGCGCATATACACACGCACACAATTATATATACAATTGATCAAATTTAGCCGTTATTTGCGACGTGTGTTGTACAAAAGTCGTTTTGCCCTTCCGTCAGTTTGGCCGAATCGAGAGCATAAGGGAAGAAAATATGTAACAGAAAAATATAGTATATATGGAAGTAATATGTAACATTAGAATACAGATAATTATTATATCACAAATTTATCTATGAACATATGCATATATGCGTTTATACTGGCACGTTCATTGTTGTCCAAATTGATGAAAAAAGATCAAAGTATAAATGATAAATCAAAAATATGAATAATTAAATATACAAGATGTAATATATCAAATTCGCTATCGCATCTATTATAAATGACCACATGATATGTATATATCGATAGACGAAAAAACAAAAAGTTTCACGCTTTTACCGAAAATCTCGAAATATTTTCATTTTTAACAGAACGATATTGAGATATTTGTTATATAAATAATTAACAGAATATAACATTTATATCATATTACATTAATTTCAAAGTCTACATAAATGAGAAATATTTGCTCATTTATGTATAAACATTATGTGTATGTGTGTGTGTGTCTATAAACAAAGTATTTGATGTACTTAATACAAATGAATAAAAAATACAATAAAATATATGAGATTCTCGGTAAAAACATTTTTATACATTGAATCAATCCCTAATATGATTGTTTTTTTAAATATTCGATAATGCTTCCGATTTTAAGCAAGCTCTATTCGACACCAATCAGTCGGAGGTTGGGTTGAGAAATGTTTTCCTCGTATCTATGTGTATATTTATACTCAGATACATTGAAGGCGTCAAAGCTGCTACATACTGATCCATGATGTACATACACATATGGGATTACGAATGGTTGCTTTTGGAAGGTCCTCGCGTTGGAATGTCTATAAATAGTTCATTATTAACTAGCATACATTACAAATAAGTTCAGTCATTTACAAGTACTGCTGCAACTCTTCCGAAAGGGAGAGACGGCCATGTTCTTTCTAAAGGTGCAGATCATCAATTTTACGACTGTATTATTTATATAAATTAAGTCTATATATATACACTCTCTTAATATATTCCGTAACAATAAATGTAATTACGTTGCTTTGATAAAGATGCTCCTCTCTCTCTCTCTCTCTCTCTCTCTCTCTCTCTCTCTCTCTCTCTCTCTTTCTCTCTTTAAACATTTTTCTTTGCAATCAAAACCAAAGCTAGTTGATTTTAGAGCGATAAGAATTTAATAAAATACTTTATAAATTCTGCAAATAACAAGATAATTATTGACGAGTAAACTGGTATATATATACATACACACAGACAGACACGAAGAACTTCGATAGAAAATGTTTCCATCATATTATTTAACAAATTAATTAAAAATCTAAACAATGCTAATCCGGTACGTTATTTTATAATCCATAGTAATAATTTTTCGATCAAAAATAAAACTGCATTTAAAAAAAAAGAAAAAAAAGAAAAAAAAGGAAAAGGAAAGAAAAGAAAAATACTACCAGAGCACTTAAGCACAGAGGTAGCATAGCATTTGCTTTGGCTTTAGCGAGTCCCTTTCATCGTTATAGATTTGGATGAATTAACTGGTAATGCTAAAAGAAAAGACAACATAGCGATGCGCAATGAATTTGTACAACAATTGTACGTACAAGAAACGTGTGTATAACATTCACGCATCTGCACGCAATTGAGGGCAGGGGTAGAGGGGTCACTGCCATTCTTAAGCAGCGTTCATATTTAATTATTATAAAAAACATCGCGTCACACACACACGTCTTTGGCAGAAATTATTTGATAAACGTGAACGCCCCTTCGGAAGATCGTGTGCAGAGCTATGAAACTACAACGAATGAACAGCTTGCATGGGATACTTCACAGGGAAACAAACATTAACAACGATTCCTCAATTATCAACAGCATTTTAACAACATTACCATTATAACTTGTCAATCATTGTGATCGTCTTTATCATGATATCGGTTTATCATTTTATTACAGTCGCTGTCTTTGTCTCTCAGTCTTTTTTTGCTACCCTCTTTTTAAGCATCTTAATCGTTTTATTGATACTTATTGTTATCGTCGCGATCATTGTCTTCTGCATTATTACCGTTATTAGCAATTTCACTAGCACTGTCGGTATATAGTTTATACTGCCATTAGCTCCGATCATTTCTCCCTGTATATTTCATCTAAGTCTCTTTTTGTTATGTATGTAATTATGCTTGCATCGTGGATCCTTTTGCTACCGATGAAACACGTAGTAGTAGTAGTTGTAGTAGTAGTAGTAATAGTAGTAATAGTAGTAGTAATAGTAGTTGTTGTAGTAGTACTGGTAATAATAGTTGTAGTGTAGTAATAGTAATAGTAATAGTAGTAATAGTAATAATAATAATAATAGTAATAGTGTAGTTATAGTATTAGTAGTAATAATAATATTAGTAGTAGTAATAGTAGTAATATAGATAGTAGAATTAATAGTAGTAAAAGAAAATGTTCGAAAGGTTTAGTCACGCGACTTAAATAAATAAAATCAAATTAAATAAAATTTCTTTGTAAAGCATCAAAAAATCAAGATACAATTGCTTCTTCGTTACGATAATTTTTTACTGGTATATATGCACAATTTTATTACTGGTATGCACCTGAAAGCGGATATCATACGATTCGTTAATAGAACAATTATAAATTAACATTAAACGTCGTCTCATATTTGGATACCTAATAACGTTTTAAACACTTAGCTATACATTGCGCACATATTTTGGTATAAAATGTCTGTTCATAAGAGTCTTTCTTAACAGGCTAGCTTCTTAAACGCGTCTATGTAATTGCATTTTTTCTTTCGATAAGATCTTCTTTTCGTATCCGCAATAGTTGCACGCTAATTTTCATTTATAATACTTCGTGTTTTTTTAATTATATTATATTATATATATATATACATATATAATATAATATACATATATAATATATATATTATATATGTGCGTGACTCTACAAACATTCAAAATTTGTCAAAAAAAGAAAACAGAAAAAAAGGAGTACTCTAAAGTTTCGCTTGTGAAAAAAGTAAAATACATATAGTAAACTTTGTCAGCTCATCATTGTCCTCTTACAGACACAGAAACATAGAACGCAGTCCTCGTCTCTTTGTATATAAAATATTAACGATTCCCCGAGTGTATATTACTGCATCATTGTGAAATTTCTTAGTTTTTTTTTTCTTTCTTTTTAATTGTTCATTTTGTGCTAGTTACAACGACAACATAAGCCGTTTTTTTATATGCAGAATTATTATATAAGTACACGAGATATAATACAAGAAGAGTGCAATAGCTGTGGTTGAATATCTAGAGGAGTACCATGTAACAATATATTACTAAAACTACAATTGATCTGTTACCCGTAAAAACATAACAAGTCAAACGAGGCGGATTTATTGTCGTGATTGTATTCAACTCATATTGTTTGGCCTTCGAGGAGATATATACTGCAATTCCTTTGAATGCAGATGCGACACATGACCACCTCCTACATTTCGGTATCTATAAGAAAATAATTTACGCGTAGGTATTTCTTGTCAAAGTATATGGCACGCGGATCGTCATCAAAATGTACGATCATTGAAATGAAAGAAACATTTAAAGGAGCTCAATTATGAGCGTACAATAAATACAATCGTTTTTTCTTTACGTTGCAATTTTACGTTCACGCATCTATGTATAATATTATTATTATTACCGCGTGCCACATGGCGTAACAATACGAAGATATCTTTAGGATGATACTTAAAGCTCTTACAACTTTTACAACACACTTGCGTACAGACAGTAGTAATAGCTGGGGTTCTCGACTAGACATGATGGGGTTGAAGATGTGGCAATCTGTTGGATCAGGATTTCATATTAGAATCGTCCACTCGCCTCTCCGTTCCTACCCTTAATAAATTTTCAAATTCCATTTCTAAAAGTTGCCTTGCCTGTAACGATAATAAATATATACGAAGTTATTATTATATTATATTATATTATATTATATCCTACATAATATATATAAAGTATTTAATACAGACCTGTGTATTTTGTGTAGGAATTTGCAAAGTAAGAGCAAAGCTATTTGCATCAAAACTTTCATCTAAAGCAATTAGGGCACCGTGTACCCCGGATTCTAATAGATGGTTTCCATATTCCTATGATAAAGGATACGGATAAATTATTTGTTATTTTTTAACGCTATTATCTTTTTAATAATTGAATTTAATCGCACACCTTTAGACCAATCGATTGCACCCATCGTATAACTTGATCGTTACTCCACACAAGAACATCTGCGTTAGTTCCTTCCGCCAATCGTCTTCTTTCTTCTAATTGTGGTCTATCATAATTTAATCTCTTCAAACACGAAATTCCGTACTGCAAACTTGTTCTGTAATAAAACAAATTAATGAAATAAATATTATTTTACAATATATATTTATTTATACGAAAACAAAACAATTTTTGGTAATTACATCTATACAATTATTTAATACTTTTAATAACTTGAATAAATAATTAAAAACGTATACTTTGGTCGAATATATATTTACACGTACCTATGAAAACTATCAATCATTCTAAGTTGACCGCGCAAATCCTTTTTAGTGAGATGATCCAACATTCTAGCGTCAACAAGGCACTCCATGAAAGTGGATCGATATTGGGGTAATCCAAGACACGGTAACCATACATTTCCAATCCATTCGTGATTCATATCTCCAAAAGCTAATGTTGTACGAGAAGTTTTAGGTGCGGATGGACTTGTAAGTGATACCATCTCTTGAATGGCTAGCCTCAATTTCAGTCGGTGCAAAGAGTTACTATAAATCATGCCATTTATTATACTTCAAATCTTGATCTTTTAATAATTTTAACTGACAGAAATAACAGCAAAAAGAAAATATACCTGATACCAATCTCGCGTTGTATTTCAGTGTCACTCAGTGCACTCATTATAGCACCACTTTTGACATTAGCTCGACACGCCGCAACGTACCAGGTAGGCATGCCAACCCAAAGCTCTAACCAAGCAACAACAGTTGGTCCATTCCAAAGAGCAAAAGGTGTTCCAGCTTTCATTGCTTCGGCTAATAGCTCATGTCGCGAAGAGTCCAGCATACTACCAAACATACTGGGACTAAAACAGGTCCGATTTGCCAATAATCGCAATAATCATAAAAATAAAAACAATTTTTGTTCTTTTCCCTAAAGAAAATTCGACTCTTTTTCTTCTTCTTATTCTTCTTCTTTTTCTTCTTCTTTCTTATCGTTTATTTCTTCTTTACGTTATCTTATATTTTTTATTTATTATTATTTTTAGATTATTGTGTTTATTGAACACTAATATATAAATCAAGAAAAATAAATACCTTTTCTTTTTCCTTCGATCAAAATCACTCTTGCTTCCTAATGTTCCTGCCACAGAAACGCTATCCCCGTAATCGGGATCTGCAGGTGTACTTGCACCTCCCATACCAGGTACATCTCCGGGCATCGTCGTATCTTTTCCCTTTATCTGATATAGAAAAAAGAAAAGAATTAGAACAAATACTTCTATAGTAAAAAAATTTGGCACAGAAGTAACAAAAGATTCACCTTTTCTTTTTTACTGAAAAATCTGCCAAGACTACTCTTTATGCCTTTTTTCTTCTGAGCTGCTGCCACTGCAGCTGCTGTCGCTGGACTCATGGTTGCTTGCATATGTAGATGGGAACTCGATAATTGTCCAATAGGTAGTCCAACACTGGATAGATTGTTCTTGTGTAAACTGTCCTGGCTACTGTGGCGTGAGGACAATGGGGAAGGAGGAGTCCCAGAATTGAGTGCGCCGTTGCTATGTTGTCCATGCCTGCTGCATGGAGCGCTAATCTAGTTTCTATTTCTACTCTAATCGGTGCTACTACACTAGCTCACACAAGACATCTCTACTTCCTTGTGTGCTCCTCTATATGATTTGTTATGTTCGTTATATTATATTGATCATGTTCGAAAAAGAAATCACACGTGACTAATTACGTCACAGAATTAATGATTACTGTCAATTGATTGCATCTAATTTTTGCAATACTCTCAAATCTATAACTAAATTGTATTATTCATACTACTTGTTATACATATGATAACACAATAGTATATTCTGGGAACTTACGAAGATCAAGTAAATTGCAGATAGTGTATCGTATGCATTAAAATTAATAACAGCCAATAATAATAGGCAATAATGTAATAGGCAAAAATACTAATAAGCATTAATGATGGTATATAGCGTTTACTATGCCAATAATATTTACTCTAATATTTCATTTAAATGAAATTACACGCTATAAAAAACCTATTAGAACTAACAAAAATACTGACAAATTATACAATATTTATCTATAAAAAAAAGTGTCTTTTTGTTACACAAATATCTAAATAAATAGCTCCAACTTATGAATTAATAAGGAAATATTCATGGTAAAAATATCTGCTCGACATTACATGATATGCATAAAAAAAACAACCTTCTTTGCAGTGATGTTTGACGTATATCTTATATAGCATGCAACTCTTTTGATTCCGTAAGTTCCCTTGTCTGTTTGAAACAAGGATGTCTATCACGAACAAGATAGGCTTGAGTATATGATGCATAAAAAAAATTACTATCACTTTCTTCCAAGGACTCATATCTAGCAGAATTATCGGGTGCTTCGTCGTTGCCACTGTGCTCGAAAATTAAGGCTGTGGGCATGTGCGTTATGCCTTGGACACTATATTTAACAATATTATATCTCTTGTACAAAACGTACAACCAGTATTTTTTAGTTTTCTGACGCAATTAACTAATTTCTTGGCAGGGAAAACAATTTACCATCATTAAATTCATTACGACCGATTTCAAAATCATTTATTTTATACCCACATTTGTCTCTCAAATATATCGTGCACAGCGGCATGTAATGTGGAATACATGCAATATTAGAAACTTTAATTAACCTGTGCGGGGAAAAGCCGCTGCTGGGGAATCCCGTTTGTCCAGTACGTCTGATAGCATGGACAAATTTATGATACTAATAATTTGCAACGTTTAAAATGCATCTTTCAAAATTGATAGTTATATTCTTCTTCTTTAACAAAGTCGTTTGAACTTCTTTAAAAGCTTATTATATGTTCTGAAATGTATTTATCTCATACATACCTTCTTAATTCTTCCTGGCTATGAGCAAGTGCTTGCACAACGCGCTCTAATCTCAGCGATCTGGCCGTTAACGGAGAAGCAGCATCGCTGCTAACACTTCCAGCACCACCGACGCTGTCTCTTTCACTTACCGAGTGCAGTTCTTCTCCGGACAACTGCAACTGCCAAAGGCAGGAAGCATTAAGCACCCACTTTTATTATTTCAATTATCTTAAGAATTTATAATATTGCAAAATATGTCCATTCTTTTATAATGCAATTAAAATACTGATAAGCAATAAACCTGGCTTGCAGGAAGCGATTCTGAAAGTTGTCCAGGACTAGCAAGGGATGCAGCATACTGATGTAAATGAGCAGGTGACATTGATGCTGGTGCCTACACAAATGATGAGTTTATACTGTACCCTTTTAATTTCATTAGATATATAAAAACAATAGAAAAATTGAATGTTTATTAAAAATAAATATGTAAAACTATAAATGCTCACTGTGTGATATTTATGTAAATAATCTCTGTTAGGGCTATGATGTGATTTTGGTGTAGATCGACCGCTTAATGGAGGTGACGCTCGCTCGAGACTGCGTCCTCTTGCTAATAAATTCATATGTTCAAAGCTACCTACTCGAGATTCTAATTCTTCTGCTCGTGCTTCCGTGTTCTGTTTTTCTTCCTGCGCAAAACTTGTTTGTATTATTATCTATATAATATTTATATAATAACGTTCAATATAAATTTTCGCGAAAAGTTTATTTACCTGAATCAATCTAATCTCATTATTGATGGCGTCTAATTGCTCTTGTAGCATCAGCGCAAGTGTTTGAGCATCGGTGTGTCCCGCCGGACTAATTACCTCCGCCGAACAACTGAAGATACTTTCATTATCACCGTCACCTTCTGCATCGCTTGAAACATCAAATGCTTGCTGCACGTTTGCTAGAACATGAGCTTGCTGAAGTTTCTCCCATTCTTGTTCCGCAAGAGTACGTACTACGTAATTCTGAAAAAATAAAAGACGTACAGGATGATATCTTAATTTCCATATAATTCTTATTCAAAGAACATTTAAATAAAATATTCGATACAACACCTTCGAGGCATCTTCTTCCATTGGAGCTCTTTTTCCTCCTCTTCTAGGCAACGAGTGCGTGTCAAAACTACTATGACTTGCGCTTCTAGAAAATGAACCAGGATCCGCGGCATTTGGAGAAAGACTTCTAGTCAATGCGTCCGTTTGTTGAATATTGAAAGCAATTTCTTGCTGAAGCATTTGTCTCTTTACATTGTCAATTTCGAGACGCGCTTTTCCTAGCTCTTTAACGATATCCGCTTTTTCATTTTGTAAATCTTCAGCTATCTTCCTCGTTTTCTCAAGTTCCTGCATTATCACATTCTTTTCGTCTATTGCTTTCATTCTTTCTGATAAATGCGTTTGTAGCCTATCATTAGATTCTAAAAGGAAAAAAAAGCACATTCAGATTATTTCAAATTGCATATAATGCGATATCAGTGTTTATTTTACTATTTACCAGATAATAGTTTATCAACCGTTGCGCTTAATCGAGTGTTATGTTCCTCGTTCATTTTAAGTCGTTGATTGACGCGCATTACTTCTGCATTTTTCTCTTCTAATTGTGCTTCTAACCTTTGTATTCTATCCTCTGCGCTACCATGTCTCTCCTGAGCCTGCTTATTAGATATTTGATATAGTTAAAATTAAATGTTGATAAGTAATTTTTGAAAAATGGACCGATACGTTTGATATATTTTTTTTCGAAATACCATTCATTTTTTTTTTCATAAATTCATTATAAAGGAAATATTGCATATTTATCAAAATCATTTGACAGAATTATCGCAGATGTTAAATTGAAAGTAAAATTGTGAAGTTTCTAATGCAATATTTTTTAAATTAGAAGTATCTAATTCTTCCTCCCATTTCCCCTTTTTTCTCTGTATCTATCTCTAATAAACATGAAAACTACTTTCCAAAAAATATTAGAGTAGAAACGAATATAGAGAAGCGGAAGAATGCACATTATAAAAACACAAATTTGTGCTTGAAGAATAAATCTGTTTCCGTGATGTAACAAGAATCATATATGAAATCATGGCAAAGCTTTAAATATAAATGTAAAGAGAATGATATATGTTTGAGATTGTTTGTGAGTTATTTGTAATGAGAAAATTAGTCAACCAGGTAAGCAGCGTGTTTCTGTATGTGTACACTAGTATTTTGTGGGTAAATTATAAAAAAGAATTCATAGTATTTTTAACATTGAATGCATCTGATAAAAATAGTGTGTATGTAACACATTGAAGTATTGCTTAAATAGCATATTATTAAAAAAGAAAAATGAAAGAAGAAAAAAGAGAATGAAAAAAGATCAGCTAAATATAATATGTGTTGCACAGCACAGATAACTCGAAAAGTTTGTCAAATAAAAATATAAGAATATAAATATTTTGCATTGATGATGCAAGATATATTAAGAAGAAGCTTTCTAGAGAGACATGTATTTATATTTGAAGGGTTCTCAGTAAAAGTGCAGAGGAATAAAAAAGGGAAAATTGACAGTGCAATTATATGATTCCCCTGCGTACCTGGTTGGGCCTCCTCACCTGGGTCAGAGCCTCCATCCTCTGCTTTAATTGTTCTTCCATTTCAGGTAACTTAGCATATTGAGTTAATTTTTGTTCTGCAAGTTCCAATTTTTCTTGTATAGCTGCTATCTTTTCTTCTTGAAGCTGTAATGGGTTAAAAGAATGTTATTTTACAAAAATGACCAATTTGATTAGATTCAATCGAATATCTGCGCTAGAATACCTTCAATTGAGCCTTCTTATGTTGAAGCTCCTGTTCTAATTTCTCATTGAGATCCTGTAAGCTAGTTGATTCCCGTTGAGCATTGAGATAACGTTTCTCAAGAGTTGCAATCCTTTCTTCTTGGTCCTCTTTCTGCGCAACATTTTCACACAGATCTCTTTGCAACTTAACATTGATCTCTTGAGTTTTAAGAAGATCCTTTTGGGTTTTAGAAAGGGTTTCTTCTAATTCTGCAACTCGTCCGCTCAATTCCGCTACACGTCGTTGCCATGTATTTAACTCAGTACTCTGAAATGATATAAACAAATGTTCTTACTTATAATTATAGTAAAATAAGTATAATTAAACGGATTGATGCGATATTAGTTTTGTATGTACAAAAACATGTAGAAAATATATATTTTTGTAAGACTATTATATTGTATTATATCAAAATAAATGCAAAATAATATTGTATGTATATATATATTACAGTAAAGAGTCGGCGTGTACCGAATTGTATAAAATGTCTGTGTTAAGTATATTCATATAGAAATTATACATTTTGTCCGAAATAAATTTATAGTCAAATAAAATCAGTTCTTAATCACTAAACATGCAAATACAATATGCTTGACATATACAGTCATTCCACATCGTGCCATAGGCATTGTTCATTTAAGATAAGATATTATAGTAATAAATGCTTTAAGTTATACTATCTGAATGATATTAAAACATTACGAATATAATTTTTTATTAAAAGTTTTATATATGAATTATGTAATTTGATAAATTAGTAAAGCATATCATATCTAATAACAAAATTAATATTATTTCTAACGATTTACGTTAAATTAAACCTAACTACATTGAATTTTATTATTTATAATGATATAATAAAATATAATATACCAATTTACAAATGAATATAATTGAATTTGTTATAAACCCTATATCTTTAGTCATTTATCTTACAATAATCAATGATATATATCTAACACATATCTTAAAATATAACTTATTATTAAATCAAACATCATGCGCGTTTTAGTTATAAATAATTTAAGAAATAGAACTTATTATATAATTAAAGAAAAAGAAAAAAAAGGATCTCGTATAATATTATTTTAATAATTAAAATAATATTTGATGGACTATTTTTTATTTTTCAAGATAAAGAATGAAAAACATAGTATCGAATCAATGTATAAAAAAATTTGCACGTTATGCATTTATTAAATACACATTAAAATAGAAATAGATTCATGCAGAACATACTTTTAAAACGCTTTTCATTCTATATATAACATTTTCTTATGGAATATATCATATACTTTGTTATAAATAGAGAAAAAGATTAAGTAATAAAATAACGAATACACTTAACATTTGATATATATATATATATTTAGAGATCTACCTGAATCTCTATAACGATAATGTTTCTAGCATTTTGCTATAAAACAGTTCCATACCTGTTTATCGAGAGTGGCTTGCAAGTCTATTACTCGTACTGCCGAATCCTGGTCGGATGGGTCAAGACTGCCATTGCTCAATCTGCTTGCTATCTCTGTTGGCTTCTCTGTACCTAGCTTTTGTATTGCGTGTTGCTGTTGTAACTGTTGCTGTTGCTGTTGCTGCTGTTGTAGCTGCTGTTGAAGCTGCTGCTGTGGCTCCTGCTGACTTTCAGCCTGCTCAGTTTCATTCTGCCCGATCACAACACTACATTCAGAATGCCTCGCTCGCATTGCCTGTCCTGCATTGCCGCGTAATTCCCAAAATCTACATATAACAGCTACGCGAACTATAGTACTACCGTGCACTACTGCAGATGCATTCTTATGGATGCAAGGAGTAAGAGATGGATGAAAAAAAAGAAATAACTAATATAAACCTATCACCGAATTTTAGAAATTTACAAATATTTCATTTGAATGAATTAAAAATATTAAGTTATTTATTAGGACATAGAGAGATAGATAGTAATATTTAATATTACTAATTGTAAGTAAAATTATTTGGGAAGTTTTTCTTTTATAAAAAATAATAAAATTGTATCAACGTTAATCCCAATAATACGTTTGAAAACGATAACGTCATAGTCGAAAAACGATACTCTTATCGTTAGTTTAATTGTTTTATGCAGAACGATTTATACCTTTTTAGATTTTTAAACATTTTTAAACTCTTTTATGTTTTCGTTTATCAAGAGGCCAAGAATCCTACGTACACATTATCCAGACATTTGAGAAATAATGTACCGCCGATGAAAAATGAGATGAGAACGATAAGGAGGAAACCGAAATCCGATATCATTAATAATAATCCTCTGCTAATTCGCCGATTATTTAAAATAGAAAAGAAGAAGAAGAAGAAAGAGGTTTATCTTTCGAACACAGTGTGCAACTGGAACGATACCAAATAAGAAAATCCATTTGCTTCGAGTAAACAAATTAGCCGGCGAAAGAGGATTTTTATGCTAAACACGAGCATGCGTAGTGAAATATTCTATAAAATGCAATTCATGACTGTCAAACATTTCGAACACCTCCATGTACACATGATCAATAATGCGAGATATGAAATATAGCAGTGTGTGTGAAATATTTTTTGTGACGAGTGTATATATGAATGTGCAATGTTGTTGTACCAAGAAACGTTGTTTGTTCATACCTTGTTTTGTTGTTGACCGTCATCCGTTTGACCATTTTCTTTAGGTTTGTCATCGGTGGCTTTAGGCGTAATTCCACTTACTTTATATTGTTGAAGCTGTAATTAAAAAACGATTAATGCGTATAATTAATAAAATAATCATAAAAGAATCTCGCGAAATATTACCCAAAAAATTCGTGCTATTTTATTAAAAGTGTATTATAGATCGCGTTTAATATTAAAATATTAGAGTAATTCTCGCGTTTGATAAAAGAATTCCTTAGGAGTGGATTACAAGAAAAAAAAAGGAAACTTTCCAAAAGTGGATTTCGACCTATACAAATTTAGGAGACCCTTCTATCTATATTCATACACATGCATAGAAAAGTATTTGTAATTTATTTTAATTTTTAGCTCATTGAAGATGGCACAAATTTTTCAAACTGGTCAATCAAATGACGTACCTCTTCTTTGGTATGGGCCAGTTCCTCTTCAAGGCTCGTATTCCTTTCGAGAGCTACACGCAATCGTTCGCGTACCTAAAAATTAAGGGAAAGAAAAAAAAATAGAAGAAAAAAACGATTAAAATCGATAAAAAAGAAAAATCCCTCTCCAAAAAAATATAAATACGAATATTCTAAATACGACAAAGTTATGTACCTTCTCGTCCAAAGCTTTGTGATGTTCGAACAAACTCTTTAAAGCTTTTAGTACTTCAACTTCTGACGACACGCCCGATTGTGCAGCGGCTTGACGTTTTACGACCGTCATCCTCAGCGATCGTTCGTGTCGAGAAACCAAACATTCTAGATGTTCTAGTAGAAGCTGAACAATCAATAAATGTATCGTCCAAGATAATAACGTTTTAATTCTTTTCCTTCTTTCTTTCTTTCTTTTTTTTTTTTTTATATAAACTATACATATACCTTACCACGAGACATTAAATATTAATATAAATTGCATATACAAATATTTATATTTTATATTTTAAAACATAATTAATATTCACGTACACGTGTGTTGTTGCGTTCTGCTTTCAATTCTGATATTTCTTCTTCTCTCTGTAAAATGTTTTCACGCGCTGCCGCTAATTCCTTCGTCAATTGTGAAAGTTCCTGCAACATTAGGCATAAAAAGGCATATTGTTAATTAATAGAACTTTTTCCTTTTTAAAAATTATTTAAACATTTTTACAACAGAATCGATGATTTCAACAACAACAAAATTATCAAATAATATACCAATAAATTATCATCTATCTCGCATGTTTCGAGAGATTTTTATTCAAAATTCTTTGCAAATATGCGCATCAATGATTGAAAATGTGTTTCTAAATATAATAGATACACGTGACAGATCTAAACTAGATTTATTCTTTTGAAATGTGAAACGTTAAATAATTTCTACTAAGAGAAAATGAATATTTAAGAAGCATCGTCACTTTTGTTCATACCTTTAAATTTATCTCTGAGAAAGAGTATAGAAGAGAGAAGAAGCGGAAAGAAGTAGAATGATGAAAGGTTTAAGAGAGAGAGAGAGAGAGAGAGAGAGAGAGAGAAAAAGAGAAAGAAATTTAGGTCATCGCAAAAGATCGTCGTCGATACGGGAAGAGGGACAGAGGGAAAGAAAAATATAGGTCGCTATATTAATCGTCCTTTAAAGCAAATTATTCATATCCTTTGATCCCGCGTACGTCGATACTTCTATATGAAGAATCTGAATTAATATAAACGTTTATATGAGATACTTCTTCAAATGAAAAATCGTAATTTTTCATTACGATAAAGACTTATGTTGTTACTGTCGAAAAAAAAAAAATAAAAAAGAAAAAGAAAATGACTTAATTTCGAATAATAAAGATAACAAAAATAACGAGATAAAACATCTTGAAAAAATTCAATAATAAAGATTAATAAAAATCTATGAAGATGCTATCTCATCGAGTAAATTACATTTTCAATAAGAAACATTATTATTATTTAAATTCGACCAATTTAGTTTCATTTTATGAAAAACGAATCACAAGCATGCACACACACGCGCGCACGTGCCAACGTACACGCGTATGCATTTTTCTTCATTTTCCTTTCTCCTAATCGTTCGTATAATTATTAGAGATATTTTCATTTAATATTCTAATAATTATTTCAAATGGAAGAAACGTAGTTGTAAAGAATACCGATAATTTTGACATATCTACACACTTATCTCGTAATTATTTATTGTTATTCTTGAAGCAATTATAATTAACATTCAATTATGAAGATAGAACAAATTTCTCGTTTCGTGTTTCCTATCGTTCTAGAATTATATCAAAATCGAGGATATTGAAAAGAAAAACACGGATAAAAAAAGAATCACATGGTATCTTATTCTTCCAGATATTCGAGATGCAAAAAATAAAATAAAATAAAATAAAAAAAAGAAAAAAAAATACAGAAGAAGAATTTCCATCCGCATCATCTCATTGCTATTTTAATGACACGATATGGAAACGTATAGCGCGCAATACCTGCATAATAATGAGAAATCATCAGACTTTATTACGTGAATTCAAAGTTATGCAAATGATGAAGAAGCCTTCTCTCTCTCTCTTTCTTTCTTTTTTTATATTTTTAATCGACGGCAAGTTTTTTACGCTTTTCTCGACGTTCCTATTTATTACGACATTACGACATTTTTTGACTCATTTCGTATTCATAAATTGACGTCTATAAACGTCCATTTGCATACGTATCCTTCTATAAATATATGCAGACAAAAAAATGGTGCTTTTCGCATCAATCACTTATTATTTAAAGAAGACAAAAAAAACTGAACGAGCCGACGCGTTAAAAACTTGGCTCATTTTTAATAAACCTAAATTATGAAAAAAAAAAAATAATAAAAGTCGACTCTTCTATATACCACTCGGCAACATTAGGTTCTCGAGTCCTTCTTGCATATATTATAGAAAAGGTTCGATCAAAAAAAGAGAAGGTGTGTACACGCGTGCGTGTATGTGTGATGCGTGAGTGCATGCTTGCGTGTTTTAATGGTGAAAGAGAGTGAGTGTGTGTGTGAGAAAAAGAGAGGGTGAAGGGGGAAAAGAAGGAGAAGGAGGAAAGGGGGGACTTTCAACGCGTAACACGTCCTCGCTTATGTTCGCACGCGCGCATAGTACGACATGCGTTCGCGGTTCAATAACGCGGCGCAGGTTGGAAACTATGCAAACGATTGCAGCAATATCCGCACCCCTGTTGTCTGTGATCCGCGAGGATGGAAACGCGTTATTCTCGCGTTTATCGTGATTGCAAGATGTAGCTTTCTACTTCTTCGATGACACTCCATCCGCAATGCAACGCAACGCCGAGTCAAATCACGGTTTGTTCTTTTTATTATTCTGCCATAGAAAATGTATATGCATTTGCCCGTTTTATTCTTTCCATTAGTAATTGTTTAAGAATAAAACTAACATCTAATTGATTGGACATAGAAATAATATATATATATATATATATCCAATCGAATAATTAATTCCACCAACTCCCCATGATATTTTTCTGATTATTTTGGATAAACGTTAAAAAGTATTATTGTAAATTATTATACCTGTCTCTCCGGTTTTTTGGCGAGCTCGTGGAGTTACGATGAAAAATATACATGACGTTGCAAAAACTCCCGTCAAGAGTGCAAAGAGTTAATTATATATATATATATATATACTTGTTTTTTAAATTTAAATTTATAAATTACCGAAAACAAAATTGTTTTACGTTTGCTATTTAACATTTTTTTTTGCTACTAAATTTCACAAATAAAAATGAATAATTGTTTACTTGAACGTTGTTATTTAAACCCATTGATAAATTCAACCGAGACAGAAATAAAGAAAATAATCGTCGAGGTATTTGAAATAATGGAGGAAGAAAGATGGCGAAAGAAGACTTGGAGTCAGCGAACGGTTTGAGAGAAGGAAAGAAAGAACGGGGAAAAGGGGGAAAGAAAGAGAGAGAGAGAGAGAGAGAACTCGCACACGTTATGACTGAATCGTCGTGCACGCGAGCAGTTTCATTCATACGTGGATTTAGGCTTCGTTCGCAATGAAACAAGCACTCGAGAAGCAGCTTCGTGGGCAATTTAATTCTCTCTTACCGTGCGACCTCTTCCACCCTTTTTTCCTCTTTCTCTGTTTCTCTCTTTCTATTTCTCTGGGTCAATATAAGTACAAATCCTCTCAATAGCTATGACAATGATTACTATGTATCGTATATTCGCACGTATTAACACATTGTCGATCAGTTATGATCACATTCGCGTTTACACGTGCATGCAATTTGTAAAATTGGTAAAAGTATGAGAATGGATTGACTAATTTTTTCTAACCCATTTTATTATAAAAGTATAAGATCTTACCGTATTCTGTTTTTCTTTGCGTTGGTCAATGCGTTTATTTTACTTTAATATTACAAATTATTCTAGAGATTGTTAATATTTTGTATAAAATAATAAAATTCGAACGTAATTATATTAATATAACCGATAAATACGCATGACTCGTTGCATACGATAACTGATCAACAATATTTTGATCATATGGAGGAAAACGATAGGAAGAAGAAGCGCATATAAATGTATAGTAATCGTGAAAGAAAAGAATGAACTAATGATTATAACCGAAAAAAGAGTGAAGTAATTTAAAGGGAGTAACTAATCAAGTTAACGGCCTCGGCAAAGCAATAAGAGCACCTGCGATATACAAGTAAGATCGTATTTCCTTTCAGTAGATGTATCTGGTTGCCTTATATTAATAAGGTATGCATTCTCGAGGCGTGGCGAAAAATGTTTGATCGTGTGTATGTAAAAATGAGACAGAGAAATTTATATATACGCGCACACACGCATGTCCATAAGAACAAGACGAATGACAAGATCTCTTCTGGCAATGACGAGATCGTCCACGAGTCTGTGGCTTCGATTTAACAGTAATATGAGTATGTTGCGTGTGTGCGTGTGTGATGCGTGTGTGTTGAAAAGGAAAGTACTCGCCTACATTTGACAATATGAGAACAACGACGAGTTACTAAGATTTTGCTTCGTGTTGTATTAACAAAGGCTGATTGAAAAGTTTTGTGATAATTCTTTTTAAACAAAAGTTAATTTCAACAAAAAAAAAATGTTTTTACGTTAGTCTCAGAATTTATCTCAATCCCTATTTAAATTATAAATATATGAAATAATTTCTCGCACGAATATCGTAGACATTTTGTCCATTAATTTCATTCGCATCATTTTATCCTGATATACAGTCAAAATCGGTATTCCAATAAAAAAAAAAAAAAAAAAAAAAAAAAAAAAAAAAAAGAAAAAAAAAAAAAAAAAAAAGAGGAAGGAAAAAAAAAAAGAATAATGGACAAATCAAACAATACGAGAGNATATGAAATAATTTCTCGCACGAATATCGTAGACATTTTGTCCATTAATTTCATTCGCATCATTTTATCCTGATATACAGTCAAAATCGGTATTCAAAAAAAAAAAAAAAAAAAAAAAAGAAAAAGAACAAAAAAGGAAATAAATAAATATAAAAAGAGGAAGGAAAATAAAAAAGAATAATGGACAAATCAAACAATACGAGAGTTGTAAGCTTAATATGTGCCTGATGCGCATGTAACTATGTGCACTAGGCAAACGTGCTTATTTCTTGCACGTCAACCAACCGCTGCTCTTTCTCGCACATGCGCAACTTTCGAAATATCGAATAGAGAGAGAGAGAGAGAGAGAGAGACCTTCTCGAATATTAAAGCCGCAAACAACAATGTCGCGATTTATATCGAGCACACATTTTGGCTTTATATTATTTCCCTTTTTTCATTTGATTTTATTTCCAACGATTATTAATCAAATTAATTCAAATCAAATGATTTGAAAAATCATAAATCCTTTGAGAACATTGTACTTGCAACAATTAAACGATTAGCATTTGAACAAAAAAAAAACAAAACAAAAAAAGAAACAATCATCTTATCGTATAAATGATTACGAATTTACGCGGATCGATTTGTAGTATTTATTCAACAAGAACAAAAAAGAACAATCAACAAAATATGATGATATTTTGTTGTCAGCTGAATTT